CCCCCCCCTATATTTCCATCAATCTCAAATATCGTTCCATTGAAGATAGAGCACAAATATTCAGGCATGATATCTCTTGTTGTAAAGGCACTAACTATTTTCAAAATTAACCGAACTCTTTCCAATCCCCCTACCGATTACACTTCACTCTCACTCTCTCCCCTTAACTTCCCCCTCCCCTCCTCTCCCAAAAATGACCTTTCTTTTGAGATCTTGAAGATGATTGTCCAGACAGCGATAGAGTGACTTATCATGGTTCATGCAAATATACCAGTATTATGAATTTGTTGGAAAATGTAAGCATTTAAAATCTTGGGGTCATATTTATACACCGCAATAAAAAGGCAACCTTTATTCAATTTGCCTATTGTGCTCCTAGTTGTTCTCTAAGTTGTGTGCGATTGCATTAACTTATCTAATGGGAAGTACTAATGATTGATAGTTACTTGTGCTGAATAAAATACCCATTAATTTTCGTCAAGGAAACCATTAAAAGTAATATTAGTTCAGAAAGAAAATTCAAACTCACCATAACGAAGGAGAAAAGACATTCCCCTTCACAAACCACCTCAAATTCGAATACGAGTTTTGTGCCAGGAAGTGGGGCCAAAAATCGGCTGAGATAGAAGGGCAAAAGTGGTTTTGAACTCAGGAAACCATCACCTAGATCCAAGTCCAAGAACGACAAGAAGTAGTTTTGTAACCCCGGACCAACGTAAATTGATGATCCATTCAGTTGCCAGGGCTGACATCCAACTTCTAGATTATTAGGCAATAAATGATTCGTTAACTTTCAGAGTAATTACAATTAACTACTAAGAAACTCCTAGATAACCTATGGGCCTTTCGAGATTTATCTTTTGCTCTGAAACATCGTCGCATGGTAATTTTCAGTTACTATTATTCTGATTTGGCAATGTGCCTTGAGTGGAACACCACCAAAATTATGTCTGTGTTTAGCTTTTAACGGAAAAACAAACTTTCTTGTTTGAATTTTATGCTTTTTTGCATAAAGAGAAGAGCGTAATGTGTGGATTTCTAACCTGAGCAGTTATTTTGCCTAATGAGCAAGCCAGCGCGATGCACACAAGCTTAGCTCCGATATGCAGATTTCTGCAGGCGAGGCAATGCTTGAGCCTGGAGGCAACCAATCAGGAGATCTTAAGAAGGTTTCGTTCTGCCAATCACTGCTACCCTGTGCACAGGCACACACACAAAAGATTTGTTTTAATGAACTTGCATAAAAATGCAAGGTAGAGGATTGCATCGTCTTTTCAAAGCCGCAGGTATCAATCCAATCAGGGAAAGGGCATTCATAAGTACGCAAAATGTATTGAGAGAGCTTTTGCTTACCATCATCAAAGCAGTAGGTAATCATTCTTGGCGGGAAGCGAGTCCAGTTGGTATATTTGATGCCGAATATAGGTGCTTCATCTTCGGGACAGACTTGACAAGCCTTTCCTTCAGGCGCCGAAAGTTCTCCCTTCTTGCAGCTCTCACAGTGAGTGGAATTAATTGGTTTGGTTCCAGGTGGACAAGCTTTGCAAGACACGGTTTTACTTCGTTGTTGAGATACTTCATCATCTTTGCAGATGGTCGGTTCGATGGGCTTCGTTTCCAGCTTTTGCTAAAGGGCATATTTTGCTTAGAGTAAATAGCAAACAAATTTATCCAAATACTTCCAACCGTGTAAATGTTCAGAAGCAAGGCCACTTATTGATGCACACACCAGGTTTGCCAGTTTGACTCTTATAAAGGTATTATCATGAGCACTTCTGTTCGGGGCCAACTCAAACGCTGCAACCTCCTTCACTAGCCAGGCCTAACTGATGCCGTGTGCTATCCCTGTTCACTAATGGGCACCAAATCAGATATCTCTGGTTTTACAGAGGAATGCACTAATTGCAACTTTGTCGGCATATCTCCATGATTGACAGGGTAGATTGCTAAAAGAATGCCACAAAATTCCTTATCGAAGGCGCATCAGCAGGGTCCCGAAAAGTTTTAGAACCTGCAAGCGAGAGGTCATATGTAACTTGAACTTCAAGTAAACCGCAGTAGCACACGTGTCTCCTTCGCGTTCCATTTCAGTAAAACCGATTGATCAGCAATTTAATTGTTCGGTTTTGTGAACAGACTATCATTTCTCAATCATTTTGTAGCTATTAACAATGGGAAACAACAATAATGTGTTCACTTGGTATGCCTTGTAGGAATGCGAGGCATTAATGCATGCGACTTCTTCAAAGGTAGGCGATATAGTTTGCTATTAATTTTTAAAATCGACTCTTTATCTTGTTTCTATTTGAAACACATTTATTTGCATGAAAAGCGTTTATCCGTGTAAAGTTAACCTTAACTGGAGAGAAGCATTTTATGTTTTCCTTTGAACTAACTGGAATTCTACTCCTCACTTAATCCGCATTATTTCTTTTCAAGATATTTGACTATTCCACAAGCTGCTTAGGCAACAAATGATTCCATTTCAAAAAGGATGGTAATAGAAAATGGTACGGCTAAGGGAAATGGAAAATCAAGCAAGCAGATTTTCATGTTCTGTTTTGGGATTAGCGATTCCCACGGTTGGTGGTTAATTTGACTATCCATCGTATTTATACTTGGGGTCATGATACCACCAACAGATTATGCAATTATTTATAAATTCTCTTTTTCTTTAATAAAGTGTCTTAGAGTAACCGCTTTTCTGTTTTGTCCATGTCTCCTGATTTGAGTCAATTAAAATCTAGTGAGTTATATTGGGGATAGGGGTGTGCAATAGACTTACCCTGGGCAACGTATATTCTTACGGCAAAAAGTCAATTAACCGGCAGTTGAGTTCTCACTACAAACTCCACAGTATGTCATATTCGACAACTTCCACATTATCCATCTTCCCTTTTCTCTGCCTTTGTGTCTGTCTGCCTCTTTTACATCTATGAATCGCTCTTCTGTTCCCCACCCCTCGACTTTCTGCAACTTTGATAAACCTTCCCTCTGTGAAGCCCGAAGTCAGCTAAAGGGCTAATGATAACTATCAAAACGCCTGCCATTTGAAATAAATAAATAAACATCAAATGGCAGGCGTCTTGATGGTTATCATTAGCCTTTTATTTGACTTCAGGCTTCATAGTGGGGAAGGTACATCAAATTGAAAAAAGTCGAGAGGGGTGGGGGAGAACAGAGGAGTGTTTCAAAGATGTAAGAGACAAGCACAAAGGTAGAAAAAGGTGAGGTGAGTACTGTGGATATAGTCGAATATGGCATAGAGTGAGGTGATGGTAGTTAGAAGTGAGAAGTCAACTGCCGATAAATAGGCTTTTTTGCCGTATGAATATACGTTGCCCAGGGTCCACCACGTGGAGGTAAGTCTATATAATAGAATGTAACGAATTGTAAAATCAGAAAAATCTGACTCACACCCGTACATTTTGTACTACCAGCTCTACGATGATAAGGGCACAAGTAAATAAGTTCTGAATTGGTGGACACAATTTCAAAGACGAAGATGGTCTCCAACTTATTATTAGATATTGGCATTAAATGCTTTTCTTGAGAGACTGTACAAACCTCAAAACCACTAAATTTCAAATGAAGTTAAGTTTCTGAGACAACAAAATTTAAAAATATTCAAGTTGTCGTGGGTGCCCACACTCTTCGCTTTTCCAATTCTTGGCTTTTTTGTATATCGGTTTTTTTCTTCTTGGTTCGCAGGGAAGTTATTCGTCTTGTTTAAAATTTGCTTTGGCTTACTAATTAGTTCACCAATAAAGCTGCTTTGCTAAAGAAGGTAGGTTAGATTAGTCATACACTGTGGAAAAATTGAAAAAGTGAGCGGACAATTTGGCTATGATTTAAACAACTGTTGTTTGTATTTTTACTTAACTTTGACAGGTGTTAAATTCATTTTTTTATTTCAAATGACAGGCCTTTAGCTTACTTCAGGCTTCACGGAGGGGTGGAACATCAAAATGAGAAAAAGTCTGGAGGAGGGGGGGGTGTGGAGTAGAAGACTGATGCCCACATACAAAAGTAGAGGGAGGTAAGGTGAGTACTGTGGAAGTTGTGGAATATGACATACAGTGGTGTCATAGTAATTAGAAGTGAGTAGTCAACTGCCTGTTTACAGACTATTTTGTCTTATGAGTATACTTTGTCCAGGATTCACCACGTGGAGGTAAGTCTATCGTAGGTGTTATATAATTTTGTTACAGATGCACATGCATAATTAATAACTGTAAACTATGTATAATTTCAAAGGAAATAAGGCAATTTAAAAACAACCAATGGCACAATGAGACGTTTGAATTGATATTTACCAGTGGTTCCATCATAATAGATATCACAAATTTTGCCTGTTTCACTCAGATTCCTTATTGGTTGGTGCTTCAACCTTTAACCTTATATATGTTGAGCTTTACTGTTCCCATTTATTGATATTTAATCATCCTGTCCGAAAAGGGACATTGGTGTTTGTAAATCTTTGAAGTAAATTATCGTTTTTTTATAATTGAATCTAATGAAAAAATTGGTTTAAATTGAGTCAGATTTTAATTAGTTCTAACCTTTGAAAGGTATTTATATCTCTCACCTTGCTCGATTATTAACTTCCTTCGGAAATTTAAACTGTTTTTAATCTGTCAAAATTGATGTTTGATTCTTACTTAGTATACAACTGACACCTGCTTTCTAAAGTACGTCATGTAATGACAGCAGGGAATGCTGTAAAGTACCGACCCTTCGCAAAACATGCACCGTCTCGTTTCATTCAACGAGTAATTTGAAGCTATTCAATATGCTCGCTATCTTTATGGCTATCAAATTAGTTTAATTCAAAGATTAGTTATATCAAATGACAGACCTTTTGGCAGTTATCATTAGCCCTTTACCTGACTTCGGACTTCACAGAGGGGAGGAACATCAGGGTCACAAAAAGTCGAAGGGTGGTGGGGGGGGGAGGGGGGAACAGAAGAGTGATTCACAGATGTAAAGGAGACTGACAGTAGAGAAAAGGTAAAGTAATTTGAGTACAGTGGAAGCGGTCGAATATGGCATAAAATCGAGTAGTGACAGTTTGAAGTCAACTGCCAGTTTATAGACATTTTTTGCCGTATGATGAGTATACGTTGCCCAGGGGTCACCACCTGGAGGTAAGTCTATCGCACATCCCCTTTTAATTCAAAATTCACTCGGTAAATTAATTTTTGTAAACAGATGGAGAAAACTAATTAACGCACTGTGTGATTTGTAGTAGAATGGTGACGCAAAAAAATGAGAGTAGTTTATGTTAGAAACAAAAAATAATAAGCCACTCCTTTATTAAGTATAAAATTTTGTTTGTAATGCCACATTGATAACTTCGAGGCTGCGTTACACTTGAGGGTAGTTATGGAGCCGAATTTTATCGAAATCAAAAATTTTTCGCTTTAAACTCTTCAAAGAGATTTGTTTCAAACTTCACCGGAAATCATTATATGTGCGTTTACCGATTAAAGAGGCATTTTTCCTTCCATGCTCTTGCGGTTCTTTCAACTTTCCGCCTCATTCTTCCTCCTCATGACAAAAAAGCCGAAAGTGCACTTCACCATTTTATTGAAGACCTTATGTAAACAATCTCAGTATTTATTATTATTAAAATTCAAATGATTTAAACATAAAATTGCCTGCAATTTGCAAATTCCCGTACTCTGTGAATAACTTCAATGCTTGATTTTGTTACTTACGTTAAGCGTAGATTCGCATAGCATACTGCACTAACGCTTGAAGTCTCAGCAACCAATCAAGGTGTCGATCATCTTTAAGGCGCTGAAATTTGTATTTAGTTCAAATGGTGTATATATAGTGATTAAATGTGTCATTTTGATGGTACATAAACAAGTCGAGCCTATGAGGTTTCGATCACAGTTGTTGATCCCTCCTATTGCTATCAACTGGCAGCTAAAATAGGCGAGCTAATGTACCTTTCGAATAGAACACAACTTGTTGTGTAAGCCAAAGGGTAATTGATTAAACCACTCTAAGAATTGCAGAGAGAGATTGTGAGAAAGTGAATTGGGAGACAAAGTTGGTGAGGTGGATGCGCAGGAGGAGGTAAACGCCAAGACTGTGCCAGACATTGTCTGCATGCATATGTGAATGGGGGAGAGTCCGTTTATATTTCCATAAAAACAAGATACAATGGTTGATGGCACCACCAATAGGAGAAAAGTACCCCAAACTAACTAAGGGCACTTAATGGTTCACTTAAAGGGAACTTGCGGTCATGGCAGATTCGAGCTCTTCAAATGCCAGTCCATGCTTGTTTGGAATCAAAAGCTGCAGGTACTACTAGGTGAAAGTGATAGTCAGGTTCCAAATCTTAATGATTATCTAAATAAAAATTATGAAATCATAAAAGATCTCATCCTTAACTACCATCCAAATGGACTTTGGTAAGGAGACGAAGAGCATACAATAGAGAATAACCAAAATCCCCTTCAGGCATGGAGTCAGCGAAGGATCTTGAAATAAACCCCTTGAATTTGGGTACTTCCCAGTGCGTGACTGAATGCTTTCAAATGTATATCTGTATTGGAATCAATTCTAATTCAACCAATAACCCTCGTCCCATCGGCGCAAGCACATACAATTAGATTTTAAGTTGAAAAGGCTGGCCCTAGAATGGGGAATTGCTCCGGTAGATTAACGATTTTAGGCACTTTGCACCAATCCAAAAGTAGGCTGAAGCAATAAAAAATTAATTTTTTATAACAAATAGCAGGCGGTTTGATAGTTATCATTAGCCCTTTAGTTGTCTTCGGGCTTCACAGAGGGAAGGAGGAACATCAAAATGAAAAGAATTCGGGAGGGTGAATAGAAAAGTGCTTTACAGATGTAAAAGAAACTGACTTCAAACTACCTTAATCCCACAATAAAAAATAGACATGGGAAAAGTACTATCCTCAAAATAGGACAATAAAGGACAAGTGTGCAAGCCACTAAGACTTACTCAAAAACAGCAAAATAGCGTCCATTTCCGATAAGTTGAAAAGTCTTTTGTCTATTATCATTGTAATAAATTTGAAATTGATTTCAAGTTAATAATAAATTGTATTAAGTAGGAGCATATTCACTTCGATTCCCTTTATGGTCGAATGGCCAATTAGCGTGGAGCAATGACTTATTCAAGGAATTTTTACCCTCTCATTCGGGTAGCTTTCGCCAACGCATCATTAGGGGGAGAGAAACCAGTAACTTGCAGTACCAGATTAAACACCGTAGGTTGTGATGAGGTGGAGTAATCTCAGTGAAGATTCTCTTTGATCTATTTTAAGAATCAAAGTGTTCATCAGTCGTGTAGAGCTCAAATACTACGCCTTGATCGATCGCTGCAAAATATGCCGCTTATTTTAATTTAATAATAAATAATCAATGAAAGGATTAGGTTCCTTTTGCTCTCGGTTGAATAGCGAGACTTCGTAGGCTACTAGCATTTAATCTAGACAAAGAAAAGGTATATCAGAGGCGCTCCTATTTGAAATTTCCATTTTGATAAAATTATTCAGCAAAGCTAATGCACAGACAGGAATTTATCTCATGGCGTCTTGACTACTACACATCGGCTCACAGATAAGTTTCTTCGACTTGTAGTAGAATCAAATTTCAAAAGCCATGACTTAGTGCCTTTATATTTACTTCCACTTATGAGCTAAAATGCGGGAATAAAATCAGACCTCGAAAATTTGCCCTGTGTTTGCCGATTGAAGAACTTTCTATTTGCCAATGCTTACTCAAGTATATGAAGATCACATAGGACTTCCAACTGTGGCATCGTTGAGTTTTTAAGTCGAGACCCTCCTCACGATGAAACACTAGACACAATTAATCATGGAGGAAGTGTTGAGTTGATAAGAGGCCACGTAACTCCATTTTCCATGGCCACTGCTGACCCGTTTCAAATAAGGATACCAAGAGGAGCTAATCCCTAGTGGGCGATCACATTGATACCTGTCAACGAAATTGAGATATTGGCGTAATTCATTTGATAAAACGATCGTAACAAATGTGTGCGTTTGGTTCAGAAGATTTTTGACCTTCATTCCTGCGTTTGCTGAAGGGTTGGAAAAGACGAAGCTGAAAACGCACGTGTGGATTACCAATCAGTACCGCCTTGGTGACTCTATAATCGAAGAAATGTGAGGGCGTTCCAACCTGCCGCAGCTTAGTAATAAAAGTGATTGAAATAAAATTCGAATATCTACCAGCTTGAAAGATGAAGTCTCATTAGTTCCTTTCCTTGCATTTCACATGTTTTTTTTTAAATTTGTCAAACATGTCCTCATAGCAAATAAATTTGTATTAGTGATATTTATCAACAATTCATTAGAAAGTCCAAAGCACAGAGGAAGTCCGAAGTGACAACATTTTAAAGAAAATCAGAAAAATGCTACCGCTTAAATAATAGTGTAGAGTGATTAAAAGATTGTTGACCATAAAAGTCCTCAATGTTTTTCCAAGGACTGATGTAGAATGACCATCTGGAGTATGAAGCGTTCAATAGAAATTGTGATGGGTGTGCGACAGGCTTACCTCCACGTGGTCCACCCTGGGCAAGGAATACTCCTACGACAAAAAATGTCTATTAACTGGCAGTTGACTTCTCACTTCAAACTGCCATCACCCTACTGTATGTCATATTCGACTACTTCAACAGTACTCACCTCACCTTCTTCACCCTACCTTTGTGTCTGTCCCTTTTACATCTTTAAAACACTCTTCTATCCCCCCCTTCCCTCTCGATTTTTTTGGGACTTTGATATTCCTCCCCTCTGTGAAGCCTGAAATCAGCTAAAGGGATAATGATAACTATCAAAACATCTGCCATTTGATATAAATAAATAAATAAATAAAAATTGTGAAAATATTTGGCAAAACGAATGCCAAGTCAGTGGAATAAATTAACGTCCCACTCAGGGTCATGGGCCTTAAATAGGAGCAGTTTAACAATATTAAATGCATATTATAAGGCTAATCACAGTCTTTATTTTTTATAATAATTCATTTTGTCAATGGATTGACAGGGAAAATCACAACTTTCGAAAGCAATTTTTCAAGTAGCAATTAGGCAACGGGCATTTATCCTAATTGACAACGAAATGTGCATGCCTGTCCTTTGATAAATTCTATTGAATGCTGACAAAATCTCCATCACACTCTTCAGTTAAGCTTCGTCGTTCATCTTTTCAACCAACCTAGTGAATTTTCCTCTGTCCGGTTGAAATGAGCAAGGTATATTCTATGCCATCAATGCTGAACTCTAGTATAAACCTTATCAGCAAGACGATATATGTATGTGTATAATTTGTTTATCAGTAATGCGATTATGGACGGCACTGAGTTTACTATTAGAACCGGTAAATAAAAGCGCAATAATACATTACGCTAAGTCAATTGTTTTAATGCACTAAAGACATTGTATGACGGGCAATTTATTTAATGCAACGTGCATTAAGGAGATTGCTTTGTTGTTCTGCTAGCTAAGTAATCAATGATAATGCATAAATGATTTTGCAGTCAGTCACTTCACATCTAGGGCAATTTTGCAAGCAGATGAAAAATTATCGGCGTATCGTTGTGGGGGCTGTAGGTTAAAATCGTTGGGGGGGT